AAAAAAAAATGGCCAAAACAGATATTTCTACAGTTCAGCCAAAGAAATCTGTGTTCTTGACCTTAAACTTGGGTCATTCACTCATCTGTTGAGGAACATACCAAATCATTGACAAAGATCAGCAATTCATCATAAAATTCTTATATTATTAGTATCATTCAAGAAGTTTTGTTTTAAACTTTTCAGATATGTCTCCAAACTGTGTATACTAATTTAGAGAAACTATAAAATGCAGTCAGATTAATGAATGATTCTGAACTGCAGGACATGATTAAACTCATTACACTTCATAATCAGAATCACAGCAGTGTAAAAGACAAATTAATCGCATTTGAGCTCAATTCATCAAACAGCCTAACCAAAGTTCAAAACTTGACTCGTCTCTTCTTTAATTCTTCACCAAAATTATATAATTACTGCATACACGGCTGAAAAAAGAAACAGAGTAATTACTATGGCAAGTTGGAACAATTAGCATCTAGGGTTTCCCCAAAAAACCATCACAATCGACATAGGGTCGATAAATACCTCAATCGTCGGAGAAATTAAAGTCATCCCCGAATTTATCAACCCAGAAACACCAATTTCTCGGCGCCTTCGACCGCGATCCCCGTCCTCTTCACCGATGCGAAAAAGGGGCCCAGCATCTTGCGGTAGTGGATGGGCCTCGCCAGCTCCTCCTGGGCGTCGATACGGACGCCGGAGATCCCGATTTCCCGGAGGCGGGCGGCGAGCTTTTCGCCGACCCTCGAAGCCGTTGTGGAGTTCCAGTAGAGCTTCGAGCGTGGGAAGCGATTGAGTTTTGCTGTGTACTCCTTGGCGAACTCTTGCTCGGAGGACGAGGCCATTGCTATGATGGAGTGGCTGCTGGGACAGGTGACCTGCGCGGTGAATTTTCTGCAGGAGAGGACCAGGCGGAGGGTGTGGGAGGCCTGAGTTGCTGCCGGAGCCGCCATTACGTCAGCGGCGGGGGTCGATTTGATTATGGCGGCAGTGATAAGGACGGCGCCACTTGTGAGGGTGCGTGGGGGCCGACTGAGTACATCTATGGTTTAATTTATAATATTAAAAGTATAATAAATATAACTTAAAGAAAAATACTAGAATATTTTGAAAATATTTTTTGGATTTGCAAATGGGTTTTCATGACAATTAATACAAAATAATTTGAGAATATGTCTTTTGTTTGGAAATTACCTTAACACGTTCATCGTTCTTGATATAGGATAGTATACCTAGAACCGGTCCAGCTAGCCGATCAAGTAAATCAAAGGAACTAATCTGGTCGAACAGGGTCTAAGCGAGTGAGTACGATCGAAGATCGTGGAAACGAGAACCTCAGGTAGACCAGCTCGTCCCAGCTCTGCAGAGGATCTGGTCGAAGACTTAACCAATCGAGCAAACGGTTGGTGGATCGACCACTTTACAGATCAAGGGAGATACAATGATTGACCCAGATTTGTTGAGAAGAATAGCCTTCAAACAGACGTCAGAGGAATCTTTACCCACGCACTTGGGACCCGTGGCGCAACTTGATTGGCCTACGAGAATGACTGTTTCTAACACACCAACACTATGAGTTGTACGATCGGGCAGGTTGGACAGCCCTTGGGAAGCAGCTCAGCCAGCCCGGGCAGCTTCTAGAACAGGTACCTCACCCTTATATATAGGGGTGAGTCTTACGATTTTAGACAATATTCTTATTATTCTTCATTCTTATCACTGAAAATCAGGAGGAGCTTGAGACTGACTTGAGCGTTGAGAGTTTGTGCAGGTGTTCGACATTCTACCGGTGGGGATAACAAAGGCAAGTTGGTTCTCAGCCGGTCGAAGGGTTGGACCTGTATTATTGGCGCCGTCTGTTGGAAAGGTGAGGCGGTACCCATATTAATAATGTGGGCACGAATAAGGCTGCAAACAAGTCGAGCGGCTCGAGCGCTCGAGTCCAAGCTCGACTCGAGCTCGAGCCTACATTTTACATTGTCGAGCGACTCGATATATATGAAATTACTAAAATACCTTTTACATATATATTTAAATAGTATAACACAAGTATTAATGGTAATTTCACTTAACAATTTTTTAGCCGAACTCAAGACGAGCTCAAGTATTTGATTTTGAGTCGAGCTCGAGCATAAAAAATCGAGCTTGACGAGCTCGAGCTCGAGTAGCTAAAAAGAAATTCAATCATGTTCGATAAAGCCAATGCTCGACTCGGCTCGACTCGTTTGCAGTTCTAGGCACTAATTAATATGTTTACCAACCGATGTAATGGGTTATTAATATACCATATTTTGTAGGTATGTATTTCAACAACTCGAGTCATTGACACATTAGTAGCTAAATATAGATTATAGTGAGTATAGTATTGTTGTTTTACATATTTACTACTCTTTGAAATAAAACTATGCATTTTTATAAAATAATCATAAACTTTAGAATAATTCATTTAAGACTCAATTACAACATAAATCACAAAATCATTCATTTATAAATATTATATATTAGTATTACAGTT